TGTCTGTTACCACTTTTTCTCAGCTCTCACCGAACCGATTTCTTTCAATGATACGTCAAAAGATCACAAATCGTATCTAGTCGAAGACATTACCCTTAAAAATTGAAAAAAATTCCCTCGTTCCCCGTAAAAGGGGGAAACCTCCAAAAAAATTACAAATTTAAAAAAAGCTAATTTTCGAAATTTTTTCAATTTTTTTTACTTTAAAGTGCCATAACTTTTTTAAAAATGAACATATCAATATAATTCTATTTTTTATAGATGCAAGACGTCATTACCTATCATTTGGTATATTTTTTTTATAAATCTGACTTTTGACCTGCCTACAGGGGGGGATTCAAAATGACAACTTTTTCACAAAAAATTGACTTTTTCAACTTAAATTTTGAAAGTGTTCCGGAAAGTCTGACACTTTTATATATATATTAAATTAAAGCTAATGTAATTTACTTTATTATGCGAAAAAAAAATTTCGAACTTTATTTTATCTTCACGGTGAAAATGGCTACCGAATGCTATTATTGTGTGAAAATTCTCGATTTTATTTTTTAAATTTTTAACTTTATAATGCTATGACATATTGAAAAGTGTATGGATCAACATTATTTTTTTATGAGAAATAATATTTTTTAATAATCCCTTTTTCATTCTACATACTTTATCTTAATTAGGATATTAATAATGAACTAGCAGATAATGTAGCTTTTGGAATAGTCCACCAATTTTTTAAAATTAAACACTATCTAAAGATTTGCATCGAAGCGTTTTTTTTTGATAGTGATTTTAATCACTGTCAGATATCATTATACTTAATCCATCTATACCACGTCACCACTGTGCCGCGACCCCCCTGTGCTGGGTTTTTTTATTCCTTTCTTAGATACATTTATAGATCAACTAAATTTAAGGTTTGTTAATCAAAAAATGTTGTTATTGGACTTCAAATATTAATTTCAACAGACGAAAATGAAGCTCACTTCTTACGTTTGGCGCAAATGTATATGTTTGACTTAAATGAATGCGAAGAATCTTTGTTACTGGCAGAGTTCAAATTATGGAAAATACGTTTAGAAAATATTAAATCATCAAATACACCAAGAATTGCCATGGAAGCAATAGTTTTATGCAATAGCCAAATTTATCCAAATGTATTTAAACTCTTACAGATTTTTGCAACTTTACCAGTATCAACTGCATCTAATGAGAGGTCGTTTTCTAATTTGAAAAGAATAAAGACATACTTGCGAAACACAATGTCACAAGTAAATTAATATTGGTTAATTTATTATTTTATAATTATGATTTTTTAAGTTTTTTTTTTTTAATACAGGGGCGGTTTAATAGTTTGGCTATGCTAGCCATTAACATAGAAGTTGGCATTGATACCAGTGAAGTAATTGATAATCTAAGTAAAAAGAAGAGACGCCTAGATCTTATATTATAAATTTAGTTTTAAAGTTCAAAAATTGTTAATTTTACTATAATCTTTAAAATATAAAAATATAAGAAATAAAGATCATGTAATATTAAAATAGATCTTAATATCGTTGTATCTTCACAACAATTTAAAAAGTAATTAAAAAAAAAAAGTTGGTTATCACTTATCAGTATTAAGTAATATAACATCTATATTCTATTATTAATCCTCTTTCTTAATTATAAAAAATATAAATATCACACATATAGCTAATTATCTTATTTCCTTCATCTCTTCATTCTTTTTATTATTATAATTAATATATTTCACTTCCTTTTTTATGACATATACTAAAGTTTTAAATTTCAAATTACTTGTCATTTCCCAATATAGTAATTTGAAAAATAATAAGTTTTTTTTACGTCAATAAACATTTTTACAATTTTCGTTTGTGAGGTTCATTAAATGTTGGACACCCCCCGAGAAATCATTCAAAATACGCCACTCTATAGAATATATTAATTCGAGCAGTATCATTTTTTCTTGTCCACCTTAAATAAAATCTTTCCATATCTTTATTGTTAATTAATTTGTAATATATAGGTGAGTGAAAATTCAGACAAAATATATAGGACATTAATCGATAAGTATATTACAGTTATGTAGATTATAATAATACTATAAACATTAGAATATATATTCCAGCAATTATCGTCGTCGTCGTCGGCGGTGGCGGTAGTAGTGTTTATTTCGGAATGTGATTTGCTAAACATCTCATAATAAGAAAACTTGAACTATCGTTATTATTATTATTATATATTGTCGATAAAAAATACTGATTTATTATTCACTATACGAATAACGGTCAAGCTTATTAACTCGTATATTAACAATTAATGTAATAGAAGGCGACATCGCCGCCGCCGCGTTAAGCCATCAGCAATACTAATCTCAAGTGCTATAGTATAAAAATATATAATCATCTATAAAGTCTTCTGACACAATGTTTCGAACAAATCTATGTTTTTTTTAAATTAGGAAAAATTAACGTTTTACGTACGAACTTTATTCAAAAATGTGCATGTCGCATATCAAAATAACGGATTTGACTTTTAAAATTCATACTTTTCGCCGTAATACATTTTTTTTTCGTCAAAAAACCGATATTTCTTAATACTATTATGGCCACTGCTGTGTGATAATCAAAAAAAAAAAATAATAATAACAGTATGTACAGTTAACAAATTAGACGAAGTCAATATATTACAGTGATTATCGTTGTCGTCGGCGGAGGCGATTGTGTATGAACCTATGCGATGCGGCCATGTACTCTGGTGGAGAAAGCTTTTGCGTATAGGGTACAGCATATTAAACAAGTGGACCCGACGCGCACCAAACGCATGTTCAAGGGTTAACGCATATCTAACCCAGAAAATTAATTTTTATTTTTCCACATAATTTAGGGGCGTGACAAGTTGTGTTAATTTACGTCTTGTTTCATCCCCCCTCCACTCATTTTAGGTTAGTTTACGTTAAGTTTCATTATCCCCAATTATAAGACTTGGTGATGGAGGAGAAGTTCCTCACCCACTCTAGGTTAGTTTACGATGGATTTCATCGTCGTTCCCCTCCCCCTGCACTATGTTAGTTTACATTGGATTTTCTCCCCCCTCCACACCTCTTCACCAACACCCAGATGGTGCAGCGGGTGGGTGAAACGGGGGGGAACCAGAATTTCAATTCTTAACCTACTTATTTAAGTACACAGTATATACGTCTTTAATAATCGATAATCGTCATCCGCAACAGATAATATTGAATGTCCTGAATGCTCTCGCACTATTCGTACCTTTGCACCCCTTTCAGTTGTCAGCCCTTGTCGCACATTACGGACCATTGTCATGGTTCACGACTTGAGCAATTTAACGCATACATCCGTCTACATCTCACTGCCATTTTCACCATTTTATTCTACGTTATATAGCTAAGTTTTATTTAATTAATCCTATTTATTTTATATAATTTATCTATTTCTTCATAGCTGCTTTGTCGACCATTTTAGTAATAAAGACATCTCCAAACCACCCTTTATTTTAAGATACTGTAATAAATATATATTAGTATTTTTATATGTAGTAAAACAGATATACCTCTTATTTCCGTTAATTTTTGTTTATCCCAAATAAACAACACTACCCACTGTAACTGGCAACCCCCTTTAATATTAAGGAGTAGCATGGCACACAAATATAATCTATACTTGTCAAAATAAATCCACATCCTCACTGCCCTGGTTTATAAAATCTATTTACAATGCTTAAAATTTAGATAACTTAGTTATTCGAACTAAAATTAACATTGAAATTTATAATAACATAAACTTTCATAAATATGTATATAATTGATTAATAAAAATAATAGCAACAAAATTACGACTACTAACATATGAATATTATATAAATAGAATGTAATCGACCATATAATTTGGCTGTAAAATATTAAGTTCTGATAAGTCTTCATTATTTTGGATATCTGTTTGTTTTTCGTTATCGACAGTATCTTGATTTACCGTATTAATTCTAGATGTTTCATCATTAATAGATTCAGTAGTCTCCAAGTTATATATTTCATTGTATATATTCGGGCTGCATAACCGATCTATAAAATAATATTTGACAATAATTTGCACGATTCTTCGATAAAAAAAAAAATAAATAAATAAAGACATCTTTGTAAAATTAATAACTTTTCAGCTTCATATCGAAGCTAAAAATATTCTACACAACTATGATTATGACACACGTTAATAGACATTGGCTTTAAATCTATGGAATTTTGTTACTTATTTAACATTTTGGCTTTACATTAGTTTAGGCAGACTTAGCCCAAAATGATAAAGATAGAGGCTATGGAGATGACGACTTCAGTACTGTACTAAATAGTTAATAACCAAAATTACTAAATATTAATTTATCTTTAAAAAAATAAAACTAATGTTGTTCAGTAGGTACTGGACTGTAGAACGGGATTAAAAATGAATAAAATAAAAAAAACCCGACTCAGCACAGGGGGGTCGCGGCACAGTGGTGACGTCGCATAGTTGGATCAAGTATAATGATATCTGACAGTGATTAAAATCACTATCAAGAAAAAACGCTTCGATGCAAATCTGTAGATAATGTTAAATTTAAAAAATTGATGGATTATTCCAAAAGCTACATGATCTGCTAGTTCCTTATTATTATCCTATTTTAGATAAAATATGTCGAATGAAAAAGGGATTATTAAAAAATATTATTTCTCATAAAAAAAATTATGTTGATCCATACACTTTTCAATAAGGTATAGCCATTTTCACCGTGAAGACAAAATAAAGTCCGAAATTTTTTTTTTCCATGATAAGGATATTACATTAGCTTTAATTTAAGATATATATAAAAGTTACAGTATTTCCGGAACATTTTCAAAAGTCAAGTTGAAAAAATTAATTTTTTGTGAAAAAGTTGTCATTTTAAATCCCCCCCTGTGGGCAGGTAAAGGTCAGATATAAAAAAATATATATACCAAATAAAAGGTAATGATATCATGCATCTTTATAAAAAAAATTATATGAATTTGGTTATTTTTAAAAAAGATATAGCAATTTTAAGTAAAAAAAATTGAAAAAATTTCGAAAATTAGCGATTTTTAAATTTGTAATTTTTTTAGAGGTTTTCCCCATTTACGGAGAACAAGGGAATTTTTTTCAATTTTTGAGGTGAGAGTTGAGAAAAAGTGATAACAGACACACAAAAAAAATAACATTAAAGTAAAATCTATTCCTTCTCAGCTTAGAATCGAGGCTAAAATAGAATTAAATGAATGAAACAAAATAGACTGAAACGAATCAGGATAATTGTTTTGTTCTTGACGATGTTGATTTTGTTGTTATTGAATGTGTAATGCTATCAGGTGGTTGCGTTTTATCACAGAAATGGCAGTCAGTATTCGTCCATTAGACCGCGACACTATTCCCGACAGAACCGGTTTCTACTTTTGGCTACTAGATGGTCATGAGTAGAGAATTGGAACACGATCACGGCGGCGACGTCGGACTGATCGGTGCAGTGATACCAATACGATTTACAAAAATGTGGAATGTACGTTCCGACGACGATTCCACGAGGTTAATGTATACGATAGCTGGACTTACTATTTTAAAATCAGATTTCTTCTTACGACCCTCGAAGACATTCTTGCTTTTGTTTTCCGCCGCCACCAAATATGTAATGCGAGTCCGCGTGGAGAAGATGGATTTATTAGTAAAAAGTAGAATTGAATAGAGTTAATTTATTAATGATCAATTTAATAGTGATCGATTAAAATACAATAAAATAACATTGAATATACAATAAATAACACACGAAATAGAACTATAGCTTTAGTTAACAGACTTAGAATTAACCGGGTTAGACTTACAATACTATGTGTAGCCTGACTTTCACATACCGAACCACGACTGAATGTAGGGGAACTATAGTGGGAGTCCTTTTTCCATGGTTGCCCTAAATCCCTTGGGCAACACATTCCTGTTTATTATACAATAATGGTAACATGATACCATCACCATTTATAATGAAAAATAATCAATATAATTATTGTAATTTAAAAATATATAAGAAATGTTCGACAGAATTATAAGCTTTTTATAAAGTAATACATTTTTTTAGTTAAAAATAAAAATATGTTACAATTTTTGTATTTTTGGCAATGTAATTTTAATCATAACTACCTAGAAATATCTGGTTTTAACTTTAAAAGCTATTATTAAAATAATGATTAAAAAAGTTTGAACCTACTTATCAG